TTTATTATATTATACTACATTTTATATATTATATTAATTAGATTGATATATAAAATATTAGTGTTATATGTAATATAAGGGTAATTTTATAATATGAAAATATTCATATTCCTATGGTATTCTTAAAATTACAACTAAACAATTAATCAACTTTCTTTTCTATTTCATTATTATTACCATTTTTATTTTTATTACCATTATCATTCTCTCACTCCAACCAAATGCCCCCTAAAGTCCAATGATTCCTCTGTGATTCCTTCATTTATCTACTATTATACTTGGTTTATATAATACACTTATGACCTGCCAACTTCCCATATCTTTAACTAAACCCAATAAAGCTTAACGATTTCATCAACTCCATATATATACAGTCACAAACAGCCTTTTACTGTATTCAATAATAGAAAAATAAAACTAACTGATTTTTAATAAAGAATTTGAGGTCATCAGGTAAAGCTAGCTAGCCATGTATTCGAATCCCAATATTATTCTTGTTCCTTCCCAAATCACTTTAATTCACCAGCATAAAAGTAAAATAAGCTATAGCTACTTATCAACAAAGCTATATAGTATACTTTACCATGATGCTTTTTGGCCATATATATCATATATTAGTTGTCTCCCATATATATAGTGTCCTGTAAAAATGTCAACCATGGTGAACTTCTTTTGTTCTTAAAGAAAAAGAGCAATTTACATATTGCTTCTTTGTTCTAAAAGAAAAGGTGCAATTTATGTATTATACCAATTTTTTCAATTTTGAAACAAATTACTTTATATAACTATTCTAAAATAGGGTCATTCAAAATAATTGTTGGTGGCTCAACATATAATTTTGGATTAATTATAAAAATTCCCTTGAATTATGTCTCTTGTAATACTTTACCCCTTAATCCTTAAAACGTAGCATTTATTCCCTCTAAACAATAAAACGTTAACAAAAATGCCCCCTCTGTTAAAAAATTTAACATTTTTTTACACGTGTCACATAAATAACACCTTCATAAATGTTAACAACATCATAAACGTTAACAAAAATGCCCCTCCGTTCAAAATAATTTCATAAATTTATAATTCTAAAAAAAGATTAATAAAATTTTTAATTTACATTCAATTATTGATGGATGTTTTGTAATTAAAAGTCTAAATTAAATTAGTTTTAAATTTAGCTTAAATTTCAAACTATAGAGTTATCAAAATACCCCTACAATAATTAATTAAATATCAATTTTCATTAAAAATTTAATGGAGGGGACATTTTTGTTAACATTACATTGTTTAAGGGGAATATATATTATGTTTTAAAGATTAAGAGGCAAAATGTTACGAACAGTATAAGTCAGAGAGAATTTTTGTGATTAATCCTATAAATTATTACCATATATACTTATAGGTAAAGACTACTTCCCTTTGTCTATGATCATCTTTTAATATAACATACATGATGCACTATAATATGATATTTGTCTATCTAATAAATATTGAAACTAGAGCTGTAATAACAAAGAATTTTTTTTATTTATCCTAAGCTATTATTAATATACCTTATCAAATATCATTATTACATATATTGCACTTTATACATTTACACTTACATGTTATGGCGTAAGATGGTCCTTTCATAAAAATACCCTAACTATTGTGTGCATGTATTATTACATGATCCTTTCTACCTTTAATATTAATTAGTAAAAGAAAATGACTTGGACCCTTTTTTTTTTTTGTGCTAGGAAATGACTTGGACCTGTTGAATTGGAAAGTTGTATCCAAGCAATCTGACAACAGTTTGCACCAGATTATTGTCTCCGTAATAGAAAACGAAGAAAAATGTTTCTTTTCATGAACAGAAACAATAGCTGGCTAATAAAATGGAAAAAGCTAGGACCCAGGTTTAATGATAATTCTCTCCACCACAGAGAGAGAGAGAGAAGATTCTCTCTCTCTCTTTCTCTCTCTCTCATGGCACGCAATACCTTGGATTTTTGCTCAAACTTTCAACCCAACAGCAATCATCATGCCCTCCTCCTCCTCCTCCTCCTCCTTCATACCCCTTCTCTTTGAGTCTGACTCTCTCTCTCTCTCTCTCTACAACCATCATCATTACCCCTTCATCACTATTCCCAATCCTTCCTTTATCATGATGATCATCATGATAATCATGATCATCCTTCAACCCCTTCATAACCTCCAGAGCTCATCATCAGGAACATCAAACACAAAAGGAGAAGAATCACCTCTCTCTCTACAACCATCATCATTACCCCTTCATCACTATTCCCAATCCTTCCTTTATCATGATGATCATCATGATAATCATGATCATCCTTCAACCCCTTCATAACCTCCAGAGCTCATCATCAGGAACATCAAACACAAAAGAAGAAGAAGAAGAAGAAGAAGAAGAAGAAGAAGAAAGTTGATGAACTTTCCTTGGGCAAAAAAGTAAAAACCCTAGTTCACGCTTATAAGTATATCCGTTGTGGTTGAAGGGATCTATTTCTTCAGAGAAAAGTTCTTAAGACTCACGGGGAATCAAGCGTCTCGGTCCGATTCATTTGCTAGATCATCAAGCAAATCATAGTAATGTTATTGTTATTATCTGTTTAATTTTTCTTTCTTTTCTTTTTCTTTTTTCTTTTTTTCTTTTTTGGTTTGAAAATTTTTGCTTGGGATAGTTTATTTATGTCCATCCCTTTAAACGTAAACGTGATTTGTTTCTTTAGTGAATATGTCTTAATATTATCATTAAGATCTTATTCATCGTTAGATGATTGCGCAAAAGATTGGCTTGTGATATATAACTAGTAGCTGATATGCATTTGGTTTTGGTTTTGTCTGCTAATACATACATAATATGTATATATATGTGTATATATAGATGCTTCTCTCTTTATCTCTCTTTTGAAGTTTGATCTCTTTCTCTCAGATATTGAATGGTAAGCATAAGCATATTTTGGATTTTTTTATTTTTTATTTTTTATTATATTTGGAGTGATGTTGGGACTTTCGTTTTTTAACAGTTTTGCTCAGTTTTTATTGAAAGAGAGAAAACATCTTCTCGGCATGCAATAAATTCCCTTACTATTTTCATGAAAGAATGTGCAATCATATATATTCTTCTGAAATATTCATTAGTTTCCGTATAGTACTCATGAGGAAAGAGTTCCAATGCCTAGAAAACGGGTTCATTTTTGCTGAACTAGGGTTTTGCTTTTTTTTTTTTTTAAATAAAAAAATAGATCTATATTTTCTTGTTTTACATTCTGTTCTATAGATAATATTGAACGACATTGAGATTTGTCTGCGCGTGCTCTTGAAATGATGACTATATGAAGTGTTGTACACTCTACATTCTTTCTTGTTGTTTCTCATGATAATCATTTTTCTATGTGGTACATATTCAGATTTAGATTAAAATTATATTGCTGAGGCACTTAGAAATCAGTGTATTTTGTGGTTTGTCATTAGCAAGTGATGATACATAAGCATGCGGCCGCATAGATTGACTCAAAAAAAAAAAAAAAAAAAAAAAAAAAAAAAAAAAAAAAAAACGTTTTTGCTCTCTAATTTGTGCTTATTGGGAACAAACTATGCGTGGGGGAATTTTCTTTGAGAAGTTAATTATTGAAGAGAGTTGAGTATCTCTCACCATTTGTATATTTATCTATAAATGTAGTTGGAAAGACTTTCCTAAGGCAGAGTGAAAGTCAAGTCGTATAAATCCATGTTTCACATGGTTGTCTTATGCCTACATCTTTAAACAGTAAACACCCTATTTTCAACGCAATGAATGAGATCTTCTAACTAAGGGCTTGTTGTATATGAATGTGTTACATCTAAGATTTGTGTTAAAGTATGGCGGAAGACGTGTTCCTTCCTCCACAATGTCTCCCCCTCATAGTATTTTCTCTACAATATATATATATATATATATATATAGAGAGAGAGAGAGAGAGAGAGAGTTTGTATCCATTCTTTGTTAAAGTTGTAGAATCGTTCCCTGACAAAACGTGGATTAACCTTATTCTCTTATCACGGACGTCTGAAAGTGGGTGTAACTTTCACAATAAAAGTGAACTATTATAATTTTACGTGTTCTTGTTTGTTTATTACTCTTCGTAATATAGAATTAGCGCATATAACTCTTTAACATTTTTATTCTCTCTCCCTTTTTTTTTCCTTTTTCTTTTTTGCTCATGTGAGTAGGGACGTGGAGGATCTATTTCTCGAGTCTTCAATATGCTAAATTGAAGTCCTCTTTTACCATCCTATGTGCAGGCTCAACAGGCTATATCTTTAATTATTATTAGACGCTTCTTAATTCTTTTCCCACAATCTTCACATGCATATAAAAAAATAAATAAAAATAAATAAATAAAAAAATAAAGCAGCCATAATACAAACGTTGCATTGTGGTGCCACGTTTTGCAGTAATTGAGATTGAAACTGTGTTCAACAGTTTCGTCTCGTTTTTCTTTAGTTGGACGTTTTCCACGTACATAGAAAAGTCATGTATTTCGTGCATATATACACACATGAAATTCCAAGTTTTAAAATGGTTGTATATAGATTTCTCTTTACAAGCTTATTGTCACAAATAAATTATGCATTACATAAATTGTACAATTACAAGACATTAATCAATTTCTAATAGATTGCATACAACTATACTTCATAACACGCTTGAGATTAAACTGAATAGAAAACTTTTTATGAAATTAATCGCAGAAATCTCGGTAGCCTAACAACTTTTCGTCGATATCAAATTGACAAAATGATGTAAGAAATTTACTGTACGCTACAGTTGAGAACCCAACAGGGCATACTGTGATCTGTACAACACATTTTTCAAAAAATTTCAGGGGCATTTTAGCAAAAAAAAAAATACAAAACATCTAGCAGATATTTCTCAATCTAAAACTAAAGTTCCCCTGTTACAAGCAGTTATATGTATATGAGCGTCATGTTATGTCTTTCCTTCAACCGCACATAGCCACCACCACCTTGTATTTAAGCCTCCATTCGTGTATAAAACCATCTTATTGGAGATGTCCAAGAAATAATAGATTAAAAAAAAAAAACAACAAATTTTGGAGGCACGTACCCCGATTATGCATTCGGAAATAATAGCCGCTGCAAGTATCAAATGCTTCTGGGCTTTATGGTTGTCTGAAAATTGAAGAAACTCTTTTGAGATGCGACTCTTCCCTCGGGACCAGTTGCTCCAACAAAAACTCTGATTATACAACACTCTTGAATTTTACATCACAACTGTGGACTTTTAAATTGAAAAATCTTCGCCTTCTCAGGAACCACTTTTGCAACTATTACTGTATGAAAATGGGTATTAGCAGGACTTCATCACCTTAAACGGATGCCAGGACGCATTGCGCCACCTGAATGCTCGGTACTGCAGAAAATAATGCGATGAGATCCACAAAAAGAATCTAGTTTACAGCTTCAAAGAAAAGAACTTGAGGTTGCAAATGCCCTTTTTCACATGATTTAAGAACATCAGTCCAGCTACCAACAACCTAGACAAGGCAGAAGGCAAAAGTTGTAACACAAGAAAAGATGGCAAGAGAGATGTCACTTACAAAGCTGGAACAATGAAAATGCTTGAGAACGCCACAACTAATAGAAAGTGGGCCCCATATTGTGGGACCTATTTTTGGTTATTGTGCGGTGCCCCTGGCATTGTTCTAAATGAACTTACCTTGACGGTGTTATCATCATACATAATCCAGCGTCCATGATCATGACTATAGGCAAAGCAATGATAGTGTTGGCCATAATAGCAAACCTAAAGTTACACGGTACAAATAAGTTAGAAACTCTTTCTTGTAATTAATAAGAAAACATCCATTGATTCAAAAAAAAAAATTGCGGAGCAATTACAAAGGAAAGAGGATAAGGAATCTCAAAAGCAAAAAGAAACATAAAACGAACAAGAAAATAAATTAGAGTAAGCTAACAGAGACCAAAAAGGCAACAATCCAAACACTAGAGGCAATCAAACCCCCAACAACAAATATTTCAGAAACTACTACACAAAAGTAAGCAGTTACTGGACCAATTCAACAAATCAACATGACACGCCTCAATATATGGAAAAACAAGCAAGCAGGCACCAAATATTGAAATTAGAGAAGACACGTTTGATATTTTCTCCACACTGAGCTCCCGATTTTTTAAAGATTTCATCGAAACTGTTTTCTTTTTGCCAGAAAGAGGAAAGAGGGAAGATTGTCAAGGGTTCCAAATTTATGGATAAAGACGATGCTCTTTGAAAACAATCGAAAAAACTAAACATTTCTCTTCCATAAACATGCAACTCCCTTGAATAATGTTTTTTTTTTAACTGAACAAGCAAAATATTTACATGTAAATAACGCGGTAAAGGCTTTCTAAGGTTTATCCTAAATATACATACCACAGAAACCAAGCTATGTCTGTTCCTTGGATCTAAACCGCGATATAGGACACTGATGTCTATCTCATCATTAAGAGCCCGTAATGTTGCTGTGATATCCTCAACATTCTCACAAGTATTCTGCCAGCCCAAGACTGCATAGACAAGTACGTTTGTGGTTTACAAGCAATTTTGTTTTCTTTTTTCTAGATCCTATAAAAAGAAATTGAATGTTCTCGCAAAAACTCTATAACTTACCAGTAGTAAAAACATGAGGAGGAGATGATGAAAGAATGTGGTGGATGTAGTTGAGTTTCCCACAGCCTCCATAATCAGGATTACAAGTTAACTGATGATTCATTTCTACAAGGTTTAAAAGCTCATCAAAAGAGCTCTCGGAACACATAATCTGAATAGCAAAGAAGGGTGCAAAGAAAAAGAGAAAAATCAGTCAACATATTGGAAACATCTCAACTAATTTCTCAAATTTAAGGGAAAAAGAGAACCCTGAAAGTGTACTCTTCCTGACATATACCTTCATTGTTCGAAGAGCACTAGCATTTATATTGTGAAAGAAGGAAGTATACTTGAGATACCTCGACTGCAATTCACAATTATAGCAATTCATGCGTTCAAAAATGTTCATTCCAAAAATTGAATGTGCAATACAATCTTCATTCACACAATCCCAAGAGCTCGTGTTGCTGCTTGCCACTGATGCAGTATCAGAAACACTTGAACCAGGAGTAAACGACTGATGAAGACAATCAAATATCGCCGCCAATACTTCAGAAGCATCATTCATCTGACCCTGCAATAGATATTATCTCAATCACAACTCACCAACTTCCAATGATTTGATGACTCGTGAGCAAAAAATGTGAATAGATGTTGTAGGAAGTTCTATAAAAGACTGATTACCTCCTTGAAGAAATTGCTATTCGGATAGAGGTTGCTCAAAGCTGTTCTCAAAGAAGTAGGAGCAACTGCTTCTCTTCGCGTATCTGTAGATGCAATGCTCAATGCAGAAAATATTTCTTTCAATGCACAGATAACACAAGGATCGCCCACATGAACATGCTCTGATGTTGATCTCCTCAGGAACTCATCACGGAACCGTCTAACATGCCATAATGACTGCGTTTATACAGCAAAAGGCAAAATGTCAAGATGCTCAGAAATATTTCATACGACAAAAGGTGCACTAAGATCATATATTTGAGTCATTTGACCACCCACTTATCATAAGACTGCACCTACCTGTATAATAACGTTCAGAAAGCAATTGTATTCACCAACTTCATTCTTCAATCCCGTACCTAACACATCAACTCTGTTCATGTTACTAGCTTGGACATCACTGGGTACAGCACCACTGTTGTCTACTTCCCCAGAAATCCTCTGAGGTGACTTCAAAGTTGAAACAGGGGGTATTTTTTGATGTGCTTGGAATGTGTCTGCGAAACAACAAAAGTACAAGCTTAGGCGGTACAGCACCAGTAACAAACTAATTTAAAAAACAGAACGCAAAACGAAGTGCCCCGAGTACAACACACTGGAAAATTTGTTTGTTGGTGAATAGAGATAGGTCAACACCATAGTTCTGTCAAGCTGCTCTAAGAAATAGTTATCATCGTGCAAATCAGACTAGTGAATCAAACTAAGTCCACTCAGGACCTTCACCATGTTGTCTCAAATAAGCTAGTGTAGTGTCACAGATACACTTACAAGTGCATGAATCGGCCACATTTTTTGACAACCGCGTCTGTTGTCAGTGTATCATTTTATTTGTTTGTTTCAGATCAACTTGAAAACCAACATAAAAATCATGTTTGTTTATCATTAGTAGGCACCATGAGTACTTAGTGCTTGTCATGATGAAAATTCCCCAGCAAAATAAATTGACTCGTTTCAGAGTATTATCTATCACCTGCTTGGTTTAGGAAATGTCAGCTAGAAGACTGAACAGTAACCCTACGGATGCCATCAGAAAAGACTTTCTATTTGACAGAAGAAAAGAGAAAAGAACGAATCCATAAATTTTTGACCAGGTATTCAAAATATATACGATCCACCCACATGTATATAACTTTTCAAGTCTGCTCATGTTACAAAAAATTTAATCGCAAAGCTTACAATCTCCTGAACATTTCCATGCATGGTCAATCCTACAAAGCCCAAGGGTAACCAATTCAAACAAACGAGCAATCTTATACGATGAATAAATTACCTTCTACGTTACTCATCCAAAAAAAAAGTCCACAAGAGTAGGAATGTGACCGTTTCACCTAATTTCCAATCATAAAATTATAAATCTAGTTCTCTTAAAGTCCATTCCTGGCTGACAGCTCCAATCACATCAAAAGTACAAATATAACAAATAGCAAGCTTACATTATGTAACAAAACCCTTACCTAGGCTTTGGCGCATGGCCCTTTTAAGGTCAGCTTGAAACCTTTCCTCATCATCCGCATCCACATGCATCTGTCTCAATGTCTTTGCTCCATTGTCTAAAAAAAATAAAAAAAGAATTAACTGATATGCATTAAGACATAACAAAGGTTTATTTGTGTCTTATAGAAAAATGCCAAATGAGACAAGGTTCATGAAACGCTCGCAGTAATCAATATCCTGTCTCCATTATAACACATGAGCAAGCAACGGTTACAAATGCTCATCAAACTAAAAGGCACCATTCTTTGAAGGCCTGTGTTTTATTTTAGTTCTATCAACATGTGAAACATTCTACAATTGCGGATTGATAGAAACAGCAACAGGAATATAATTAATAACTAAATGTGCAACACATAATGCATCATGTATATTCTAAGAATCAAATTGAAAAAGAAAAATGATCTCCTAGTATTTTGCAAAGCCAGTTCATGAAATTACTGCCGTCTCTATGGACTGTGATAGAGTTTACCTTCTTCTTTTAAGCCACCATCAACACATGAACTCCCAACTTCAACACTTTCTCTCGATGACAAGGTTTGATGCTTTCCATCGGCAACTTTAGAAGAACCCCTCTGCCGTCTACCTTTTCTTCTTGCTCGTCGATCAGCGGGCAAAAAACCATCATCTGAAATTCCCCCATCAGGAAGGCCTGCTCAATTAAAAGAAAATTATAAGATCTCTAATGTCAAAGAACCCCAAGTATCATTTGAGGAATCCAACCAATACCAACCTTGTAAAATATTTGTCTGATCCTCATTACTTGTTGTTTGAGTAGTAGAAACAGTAGCGGATTTGATGGGCAGTGCTGAATGATTTGGTGTGCCGCTTTGAAGACCCTCTAAATTATTAGCCAAGTTCTCCTGAAAAGTGCAAATTCATTAGGATTTTTTTTTTTTTTTTTTGGATTCCAACATCCTCTCACAAGTGATGTTTCTCTAAATTAGACAGCATAAAGTCACATTCAAATGATCTTTAATATCCAACTCATATTCCAGCTCTTCTATGCTTACCTGCATAGAAGGTTTAAATTGCTCATGCACACCCAAACCAACAGAACTAGATTCCAAATATCCATCATGCTGCCCATCTGCTACCTTCTCAGAATAAGCTTGAGTAGCTTTCTTTTGTTGCTCGGCAAGGAGCTTCTGTTTAGCCTCATTCTCAATTCGTCTTTGATATTCTAAAGTCTCTTCCAACTTCCGTTCCTCTTCTTCAAGTTCAATTCTTCTAAGTTCCTCTTCCTGTTGTTTTAATTCATCACCATTCACAGTAACAACAATCTCAGAATCTGGATGATCGCCATCATGTGCAACTGGAAAGGAACTGCAGCAGGAGACATAAAATGTACATTAATAGAGAATAAGTACTCACAAAGAAAAACCAGTAAACAATTTCGCAATAAATTGACAACATTTAGGAGACATAATATAATATTAGTTTGCGTAGTTAGAGCAGTAACATACACTGAATCATCAGCCTCATCATGAAACCTCTGTGGCTCAGAAACACCAATAACCTGTAAAAGTAAGGAAAAAATTTAATAAAAGACACTTGGCTTGTGTGCACTGCGCACATGCATTTGCAAACACCATGTTAAAAACATAAGATTACACCAAACAGGTGAGACCTTCGAATCTTTGGCTTTCTTATAGTCCTTGTTCTTTCTTTTGTCCTTTGTTTTCTCCTGAGTATGTCTCAAATTATCATTTCCTCCCTTGACAGCCTTCTTAGAGTCCAGAGCAAGCTCAGCTAAAAATGCTTCTCTTGCAGCATCAGACTTTTCCGTTGCATCTTTCTCAGCCAAATCCTCCAAATGAGCCTGAAAAAATAGGAATTGCAAACACACATACAATCACGTAAGCATGCTAAAGAACGTTGCCAAATTTCAACTCTTCCAATACAGACCCTCAGATATGACTTCACAAGAGGCAACAATATCGACCGGAAATCATGGGCAGCCGCAGGCTCGACCTTAGCTTCCAACTGCTGCATCCCAGTAACACTGCGCATTATCTGTGCATCGATTTTACTAAGCTGCACAACAAACCGAGAAATGATTAATATTTACACTTTCAAATTATAAATGCATCTAAAACCTATAAATACACTGACCTCTACATATAATTGTTCTTTCTGCCTTTGAATTGCAACTTCTACACAAGTGTCCACTTGGTGCAAATAGTCCTTAGCTCTCCAATCATCATATTCACCAGATTCCAAATCAGGTAACTGCGAATTAGCACTGCCATATGATTCCTCATAACCAAACTGATTCACATTCAGAGTTTCTGCTTCTTTTAAAACATTTGATATGGCATCTAACTCAATCCGACTGCCAAGGATCATCATATCATTTTCACTCTCAAGAAGCTCTTCTCTTCGTTTCTTCAAAACAGAATCAAAGCTCTGGTAAATAAGTTCTCTATCGTTTTCCCTCCTCTTAGCTTCTTCAACACACAGGTCCTCTACTGCTTGTAACGCTTCTTCATGACCTAACCGTTCACATTTTCGTTCACAAAGGCTCTGTAACTGGTGAAACTCCTTCTCAAGCATCTGGAGTATTTCTACTCCTTCACGCGCTTTTTCTTCTTTTGCATGCACCCATGATGCCAATTCTTCTCCACTGGTTGGACCTGCAAATATCCACGACAGTAGAGCATTGGAATTGGTAATATCCCCCGCGGCATTGCTGTCAATAGCAGAAGTTGCAGCAGCAGCATTGTCTTTAGCAGATTCAGAAGACAATAAAGATTCATCAAGAAGTAGGAAAGATGCATCTCCATTGAGAACAATCCGCTCCTTGATCTCCAAACTTTGGCTACCTTTATTGGCATCAACAAGGAGATTACTACTTTTCTCAGAATATCTACCTAAACCACAAGATTGGGATACATCCTGCAAGAATTTAAGGATTTTCTTTAGCTGGGAAGATCCCATAAAGCAAATGCACATAGGTGTTTGCTCCACACCATGGTTAAGAAGCTGGGAACCTGAAGCAATACTCTGTAGCTCATCCATTGCAAATTGAATAACCCTGTTGAGATGGCTTGCCGCAAGGCATCTATGCCTGAAAAGCACCTCAAAAAGAGAATGGATTCTTTCAAGAAGCTTTGCACACTCGGAATCATCAGATACTGGCCAGTTATCAGACAAGGAAGAATATGCCATAGACCTGTTGTCCTCGTGACATTCTCTAGGTTCTATGTTGGGAATTTTTACATCGTTAGTGCTCTCAACAGTACTATCACCGCTAATATCCCCAAGATTTTGCTTCTCAAGTGAAGAATCCAACATATCTTTCGAGCAATCATCAAAATTCCCTGTGTGATCAACAAAAGCAGAATCCTTACACCTCGTTTGATTTCTAAGCATCTCAACTGCAGCTGACACATCCAAAGGCTTCCAAGAACATTTAAGAAGCATCTCAATCCATTCATTATCAACGTTTTGAGGCAAAACTGACTGCATTTTAGGTAAGAGGCTTCCCATGTGCTCCTGCACATGGTGATAGTGAGACTCCGAATCTGAAAATCTATCGTTACAGCTGCAGCAAACCCAGAACTTCCATGACCTATTACTCTCCGCGAACGACAATGCTTCTGACAAAACTTCATTTGCCAAACTATCCTTCAACGAACCGAAATGTTCCTTAATATCAGAAACCCGAATCCTAAGCAACTCCTTCTTGGCATCAATACTAATGGAATTCCAAAATGATCGGACAAAATCCCTCCTTTCGGAAGATGATCCAACTTTTCTTGACTTCCTACGGTCACCAACTCTCTGACCAGATACTGAAGACGAGTCCAATCCCTTATCAGCCATATCCCCTCCATTTTCCAACTGGGGCACCTCAGACTTCTGCTGCAACAACCTAGCCGCAGCAACTCGAACTTCAATCTCCTTCCTACGCTCTTCAAGCGTCTTGGTGGCCTTCTTAATCTCATTGGGCCTCCTAGCTTGAACCAACCTCACCTCCATTGGGTCCTCAGCCACCCTCCTAATCGGAATCAGCCGGAACTTCTCGTCGCCATTCCCCAAATTCTTCATCCATGACGATATCGAAGCGATATTGGACTTCTGAATCAGCTGCCTCAGCTCATTGTGCACGTGCCCAATCCGATCCTCCACCGACGAGAGCTTCTGCTGGCTTTCGTCCTGCAAGCTCTCTTTGGCGGGATCGACAGGATTCTCGATCACCAGCGCCCGCTCGCACTCCCTCACGGCCTCCTCATAATCCTTCGCGTCGTTCGCCACTTCGTAGAGCAAATTCGCGTAGAAATGCGCGAACTCGATCGAGTTCGGCGACAGCTCTACAGCCCTCCGAGCCGCCTCCACTGCGTTCCTCAAATGCCGGTTCTTGGTCGTCTGGTCGTCGATGAGCGACGCCACCTTGACGCACACCGTTCCTTGGACTCTGTGAACTAGGGCAGAGTGAGGCGAGTTCTCGTAGCGCTGGCTCGACTCCTTCATCAGCCTCAGCGCCTTCGTGTGGTTCCCACGCCGGAGCGCCGTTAGGGCACGCTCGCACTCAAGCTTGACGGCGGAGTAGGAGGGAGAACCACTGCCGTCCGGTTCAGCCGACGGCCAAGATTCAATCTTGGACTGCGAGATTGAACTAGGGGTTTCGCCGCTCCGGGAAGGCGCCGGTTCGGCCGCCGACGATTCATCATTGCCTGTTGTTGCAGCTGCGGCGGCGACCACCTCTTCG